TCCTTTTCTCCAGGCTAACCACCGCCCTCCTTCCCCCAAGTCTTTTTTTAGAACATATTTTATTTTTTCCCCAATTACATGTTAAAACAATTTTTAAACTTTTTTTTTAAAAGTTTTGAGTTCCAAATTCTATCCTTTCCTCCCTCTTTCCCTTACCCCCTTTGATTGATAAGCAATCAAAGATGGGTTATACATGCACAATCATATAAAACATTTTCATGTTAGTCACTTTGTATAAGAAAATTGGAATAAAAGAAAAAGAATGAAAGTGAAAAATAGCGTGCTTCAGTCTGTATTCAGACAATATCAGTTCTTTCTTTTTTCTTTTTAATTAATTAATTTATTGTTAGTTTTCAATGTTAATTTCCATAAGCTTTTGAGTTTTAAATCTTCTCCCCCTCCCTCCCACCTCCCTTCCCAAGATGGCATGTGCAATCTGAATATCAGTTCTTTCTCTGGAAGCAGATCTCAGTCAGTCTTATAGGCAAGGGCTGTCCTTGGTTGTCTGAAATCCTCTCTGGATTCCTTTGAAAGCTGCCTGCCTCTCTTTCCCTGGAGACTCCTAATCTTTGCCTTCTTCTCTTTCTGCGCTTCCATGAATTGAAATGTTTGCCTTAGCTCATACTCCCACTGGACCTCTTGGTACTTTAGTCATCTGGTAAGTTCCTAAGGAGAAAAATCATTTGGACAGAGCATTGCCCTGTTGTCCCCATTCCACTATCAAAGAACTCTAGAGCAAACCAAATTGCTCTAAATTAGGGGGTTCCCAACTTTTAGGAGTCCACGTGTCTCTTGGCTTTCAACTAAAGTGCTTAGCTCAGTGCCTGGCACGTAGTAGGTACTGTATGAAATGCTAAAAGTGAATGTTAAGTGACTGTACTTCCTATTGAATAAGAAAGAAAATAAATTCTAATTTTCCTTGTACATAAGAAATCAGAGCAATTAATTTTTCTTGAATAAGATTATTCAGTACATACTTTTTTTTTTAGTATTATAAGTTGTCAAATGATCAGAACACAATTCATGTGATTATTAATTCTGGGTTTTTTTGTGCAATTTACAGTTTTATTCTAGGCATAATTTAAAAAAAATTTTTTGGGGGGCTAGGCAATGGGGTTAAGTGACTTGCCCAGGGTCACACAGCTAGTAAGTGTCAATTGTCTGGTCTGAGATTAGATTTGAACTCAGGTCCTCTTGACTCCAGGGCCAGTGCTCTATCCACTGCGCCCCCTAGCTGCACCTCTGGGCATAATTTTTGAGAGAGTTTACCCTCATAAAATGTTTAGCCTTTAGTTTGTTTCTTGCTTTGGATTTGATGGAGATAAGAACCAAGAATCCTGATGCACAGAGGTAAACTGATATAAATGCAATTAAAACTTTGGGGTCAGGGGCAGCTAGGTGGCGCAGTGGATAGAGCACCGGCCTTGGATTCAGGAGGACCTGAGTTCAAATCTGGCCTCAGACACATAGCACTTCCTAGTTGTGTGACCCTGGGCAAGTCACTTAACCCCATTGCCTAGCAAAAACAAACAAACAAACAAACAAAAACCTTTGGGGTCATGGTTAGCAACAATAGCATTTGCGTTTCTCCAGGGCATACACCACATTTCTTAATGTTATTGATTGGAAATCACTTTGGAGTTCTGATTATTGCAGAGATTAATAAGCTCCTCTTTCACTGGGTCCCTGTTGCCCGGTTTATTTGTTTGTTCCCCCTAGCTTATTATGAAAGAGGTTTTGTATTCAAACCTCATTCATTTGATTTTGGTCAATAAGAAGTATTTCTACACAATAAGAATAATACCCAGCACTTATTTGGTGCTTAAAGATTTACAAAGCACTTTACATGTAATATCTCATTTTATCCTCACTACCAACCTGGGAGGTAGGTGCTGTTGTGATCCTCATTTTACAGATGAAGAAACTGAGGCAGACAGAGGTTAAGAGACTTGTCCAGTGTCACATAGCTAGATTGTAAGCTCCTTGAGGGCCAGGGCTGTCTTTTGCCTCTTTTTGTATTCCCAGTGCTAAACATGGTGCCTGGCACATAGTATAGACACTTAATAAATGTTTACTGAATTCAACTGAATTGTCTGAGGTTGGATTTGAGCTCAGGTTTTTCTGATTCTGTGTACAGCTTTCTATCCACTGCACCACCTAGCTGCCTCATCCTCCTTAGCTGCTTCTTCTAAATTTTTCATCTGCTCTATAAAGCTCTCTCCCTTTCCCACCTCAACCCTACCTCTTGCCTTTCTTTCTCCAACCTGCAATTCCCACCCCCACCCCCATTTGACAGTATTATTTTTGGAATATTTCATCTGGTTGTATATTTTGATCTTCTTTGTCACCAAAGTAAGATAATATAGTCTGACTCTTTTTGCGCTGCTTGCTCATGATCCCAGCCAATTACTTGAGTTTTAAACTCTTTGTTAAGGTAAGAGTCTGCTTCCAATGTGGAGAATGTATTGTCCCAAGCTTCAGGGGTTTGTGTAGCTGTTTTCAGAGATACTTGTAGGGACCTGTAAATTTTCAGTTCTTGCAAGGTGGTATGATAAGGGACGAGGTATTTACTCCTTTCCTGGCCTGTGACCACAAGTATTCCTTTCTGTCCTGTAACTGTGAGGAGGGGTTCCTCTTCACAGCCACTCCAAGCTCCGCCAAGCCAGTGCTCCTCTTCACCCCAGCACCTACGCCCAGAACTGTGACCCAGATCCACACAGGGGCAAAGCAAGAGATTCCTGCCTCAGCACTGGCAAAGAGATCCCTGTAGTCCCTCTCTGATCAGCCACTGGATTCCCCCTCAGTCTGTGGGCTGGAAGCTCGGGAAGCAGATGCCTCCCCCAGGGCCACGCTCTTGGGGAATGGAGCTGAAACCCCGCCTTCCTTTCTCAGCACCGACAGAAACAGACTTTTCCCACTGACCTTCTAAGTTGTCTTTGGCATTGGTGGATTGAGGAGTCTAGAAACTTCCACAGCTGCCCATGATTCAGTCCTCTGAGGCCTGCTCCAGGTTCGCTGCAGCCTGCGCACCTACGCTGCGCTGCACTGTGCTCCCAGCACGATACACCTTTCTGATCAACCACCCAGGTTGTCTTGGGCTGGAAATTTGTTTCACTCTGTCTTTTTGTGGGTTCTGCTGCTTCAGAATTTGTTTAGAGCCATTTTTTATGAGTATTTGGAGGCGTTTGGAGGAGAGCTTAAGCAAGTCACTGCTTTCACTCTGCCATCTTGGCTCTGCCCCTGGAATATTTCAACAGGATAATACAGCTAATTACCAAATATTTCCCATGCCCCCTTGACCAACTTCTTATATCCTTTGAGGGCACATGTACCTCAGGTTGGAAACCCCTGCTCTAAACCATTCCACCAATTTCACTGTAAGACTGGATTGGAGAGGGAAGAGATGCAATCCTCTCTGGCCAGGTGAGGCCCTATACTAGGCAATTACACAATTTCCTTCAAAACCTCAAGGACCAGGGGACAGGTAGGTGGCACAGTGGATAGAGCACCGGCTCTGGATTCAGGAAGAGTTCAAATCTGGCCTCAGACGCTTGACACTTACTAGCTGTGTGACCCTGGGCAAGTCATTTCACCCCATCGCCTCTCAAAAGAAAAAAAAAGTAAAAAAAACCCCTCAAGGACCAGTAGAATGTAAACTCCTCAAGGGCAGGAGTTATCAATTTTATCTTGGTACCCCCAGCCTTTGCACAGTGCCTTGAACATAGTAGGCACTTAGTAAATACTTGCTGAATGAATGAATGAATGAATAATCAGTGTTTTCTTTTTTTTTAATCAGTGTGAGAATTTTAGTAGATCAGAAGGTCATTGAGGTCAAGAATGGTTTTTCCTTTTGTTTTTCTACCTCCAGCCCTAGATGAGGGCCTTGTGTATCTACTATGTGTGTGCTTAACAAACACTTGTATTTCATAAGCATTTCTAGTCCTTCTACATCTTAGAAGATGATACTTGTGTGTTTCTTTGGCCAATACACAAACAACCAAAAAAAAAAAAACCCAGCCCAACAATCATTGTGTAGTGGACATAGCCAGTAATCCGGTGATGAGCCTCTTTGGATTTAACCATGCTTACCCTCAGACAGTTTCTGCACGAACCCATACACAGAGTCTTTCCAACTTAGCAGGACTTTCAAGAGCTCCATTGCCGTTTCTCTGTATCTCCAGCACTTAACACAATGCCTGGAACACAGGAGGCGCTTAATATGTGTTCTTCAACTGTTTGACCTTTGATGTCTCTTGTAGTTCTAGACCCTATGATCCATGGATCTAGAGGTGCTTGAGACCACAGAAGTCATTAATCCAGCCCCTCATCAATCTGGCCTCAGACACTTCCTAGCTGTGTGACCCTGGACAAGTCACTTAACTTCTATTTGCCTTAGTTTCCTCATCTGTAAAATGGGGATGATAATAGCATCTACCTCTCACGCTTGTTGTGACGGACAAATGAGATGTCTGTAAAGTGCTGAGCACAGGGCCTGACAAGTAATAGGCACCATATAAATTCCCTTTTACTTTCGCTATCATCTTCTTTTCATTTTATAGATGAGGAAAGTGAGGCCCAGAGAGGTAAAACTACTTGAAGAGGTCACGCAGGTATAGTTAGGAACAAAGCAGAATTTGATCCTAGCTCTTCCAACTCCAAATCTAGCACTGTTTCCATTATACCCAGAGATTGCTGTCAGAGGCGTATCCCACATAACCCTCCCCTGGCCAACCAACAGCCTTAGGTAGCAATAACATGTATGATATCCATCTTGTACATCTATATAGTGGGCAGCTAGGGGGCGCCATAGTGCATAGAGTGCTGGGCCTAGAGCCAAGGAGACTCATCTTCCTGAGTTCAAATCTGGCCTTAGATGTTTATTGTTCATCCTTCTTTCTTGAAGAAGACCAATGACACCACGAGTGATGTCTTGACCCGAGCGTGAGTTGGTTTTAAGTGAGGCAGAGTTGCACAGTCATCAGCCTCTCTCTCTCTTCCAGAATCATCAAAATCCAGGGGCAGGACAAAAGTCAAGATGAGTGGCAATGGCCCAGGATGCACTGGATGATCTCTGAGGCGTGACCGAGCTCTAAGCGTTGCTGCTTCAGCCTCCTTCGTGGCCCTTGGAACAGAGTGTTTTCATCCGCCTATTTCTCAGGGAAGTCTTCTCATGCTAAAGGCAGACAGCCCCCTAACTCATGGGCAGTTTGAGGTCCGTTGGTTATTCTCAACCTGTTTTAGCTTGTCTGCTGAGAGGTTTTACTGGGATGTGGCCACCATGCATGGTCCAGCCTCTTGGAGCCATATGTGAGAGCTGGGTGAAGGTGGACCCCAAATGTGTATGAGCATTCCTGAAAAGGGCTCGGCAAGCCCTCACACTAGAGGTGCTAGTCCTCCCAGGACACCCCTAGGAAAGTCACTTCACCCTGTTTGCCTCAGTTTGCTCATCTGTAAAATGAGCTAGAGAAGGAAATGGCAAATGACTCCAGTATCTTTGCCAAGAAAACCCCAAGTGGGGTCACAAAGAGTCAGGCATGACTGAAAAACTACTGAAAAAGAACAACAACAACGCATTTACATAGAATACGTTCTAAACAAATCCCTTGGGGTTTCAAGAAGTGCCGCAATGTATCGTAGTCCACAGATTGCCTGAAACACAGATTGGGCCCCCCCAGACTGAGCTAACACTTGCGGCTTGGGGGCATTAGCTCCCCGGCTCGTCAGCCTGCACATTGCTCTCCTGCTGCTTGCCATGTGTCCCTGATCATCACTTCTGTAGAAATGACTGTCTCCTGGAATGCTGCTTCACCTCATGCTGGCTGAATGGTGCTTTTTGGGGAAGAGCCTAACTTAGCCCCTAGTTTGACCTGTAACCCTCTTCTACTTCCCCTCGATTTATTTCCCACTTCCATTTCCCTTTTCTGAGCTGGCTGGTATATGATTTACAATCTGAAGAACTGTCCGGGTCTGCACTTGGATATGCAGAAAGAACTTTGAACTCAACATTGGGGCATAGATTTTCTCTGTCTGGGTTCAAATTCCTCCTTGAAAGACTTTGAATCTATCCTGTCCAGAATAAAGAGGAGGAAACTGAAGCTAAAAGAAGGAAGTGACATATTTATGGATCCATACACAGAAAGAACATGTAGTAAGAACTCTATAGACAATGGAGCTCTCCATATGCAAATACAAATAAGCACATTAGTCCCTTCCCTCAAGGAGCATACAATTCAAATGGGGGTAAAGATGAGGAAAGAGGAGAAGTCTGGAGAGTGGAATCATGAGTGAGGAGAAGCTGGCAATGGTAGACATATAGCTAGTAAAGAGCAGAACTGAGGTTCAAACCCAGGTCTCCAAGGTTCTCCGACACTAGATAGCCTTCCAAAACCAAACGGCCCAGCATGTCCCTCTTCTTTGCTTTCCTGTTTTTGGTGGTGGCAACACCATCCTTCAAATCACCCAGGCTCAACAGCTCCATATTTGACTGACTTCTTCCTCTATCTCTGCACTATATCTAATTACTCATTAATAATCATAATAATAGTTAACATTTATATAGTATTTACTATGTGCCAGGTATTGTGCTAAGGACATTATAATTATTATCTTGTCTGATCCTCACAACAACCCTGGGAGGTAGGATCTACTATTATCTCATTTTACAATTGAGGAAACTGAGTCAGGCAGAAGTTAAGTGACTTGCCCAGGATTACACAGCTAGCTAGTAAGTGTCTGAGTGTGGATTTGAACTCAGGACTTCCTGATTCTGGGCCTGGTGCCCTATGCATTATACCACCTAGCTGCTTCCAAATCCTATTATCTCTCTCACACACATTCATTCCTCTTCATTATCACCATTCAAGCTCAGGCCCTCAAAACCTCTTTCTTGTCTAGACTACCCCAGGTCCTGATTAGTGTGAACAAGGAATCCCTTGAAATGTTCACTTCATTTGAATTCACGTGGCATATTTCCATTTGGGCTGGAACCAATGACCATATTTTAAATAATCATTACTTTGAATAGTGCAAATTTGAACACACCTATTACTTTAGTTGATTCATTATTGTCACCAATTGGGACTTGACTATATGGAAATGGCCTCCTAGTCATTTCCCTACACTTGGCCACCAGGTTAGCCTTCCTAAAGGAATTCTTTGACGTCACTCCTCTGTCTAAAAATCTATAATGACACTTGTCGTCTACAGGTTCAAAAATATATTCTTAATATGGCATTCAAGGAGCTCCGTAATCTGGTCCCAAACTTCCTTTCCATCCATAGCTTTAAAGACCAGCCAATATAAACCCTATGTGCCAGCCAAGAAGGCTCTAACCCCAAAATTTATCTCGTGCTTTCTCGACAGTTTGCCCCCGTTTCTGTCACTCCCCAACATTTGTTAGTAGAATTCCTATCTTCCTTCAAAGCCCCAATTAAACATTACGTTCTCCATGAAGTCTTCTATGATACCGCAACCAGTAGTGACTTCTCCCTCCTTGAGTCTTTCAGAACACTTTGATTCTACTTTTGAAATGTACTTAACGTATTATAATTTCTATTTCAGTGTCTTGGCTCCTGCAGTAGGCTAAAAGCTCCATGGATACATTCTCTGGCTCAGCACTGAAAGACTTACCTCTCTGGGAGTGAACCAGGGTCCAGAAGATCAGACCTGATTACTTCCATAACACATAGAATCAAGGCATATGGTGTCTCAGAATTGGGAGGGAGTAGGATTTATCTCTACTGCTGTCCTGAAAAACAGTCCATCTGGCCTCTTAAAGATCCCTGCCTATGGCATGCCCATAATCCCTGGAGGTTGCCTACTTCTAAATTTTAGGAGATTTTTCTTTACACTGAAATGCCACCGAGTCTCCCCGATCTTCCATTGCTCCTATTTCTACCCTCTGAGACCAAATGAAATACATTTAATCTCTCTTCAAATATTTGAAGACAGTTAATCACATTTTCCCAACCCCAAGTCTTATCTTCTTTCCTTCAGACTAAACATTCTTGGTTCTGTACACCAATCTTTGTATGACATGGTTTCTAGTCCCTTCACCATCCTGTTTGCCTTTTTCTGGACCTGTTTTTGCTTGTCAAAGTCTTTCCTAAAATTTGATGTCCAGAACTGGATTTAGTTCATCCTTGTGTTCCATCCTTTTTTTTTTTTTTTGGCTAGGCAATGGGGTTAAGTGACTTGCCCAGGGTCACACAGCTAGAGTGAGTGTTTTGTGTCTGAGGTTGGATTTGAACTCAGGTGCTCCTGATTTCAGGACCAGTCCTCTATCCGCTGTGCCACCTAGCTGCCCCCTTGTGTTCCATGCTTAAGGCCTTGAACATTGTGGTCATCAGTAAATCAACGGACATTTATTAATCTCCCTTGTGTGTCAAAATTGTGTTAGATTGCTGGGGAAAGACAAAAATTTAGATAAGGCAGGTTCTCAGAATTCATGAATGTCATAGTCCTTCAGGGAAACAAGAGAAACCAGAGGCAGGGAAGCCAATTAAAAAGCCATATACAGTCAAAATAATTGTCCTCTTTCCAATGACTACCCCATCCCCCAAGGACCTATGTAGTCCTCTAGACTTATGGTACTACCTTGCATTTGAGGCTCCCTCTCAAGAGGAAAACACTTTAGGTTGATGAAAAGTTAACTACTCCTTCCTTGAGACCTATGCACTCCTTGAGACTAATAGGCCAGCTGTCTTATTCTCCCTCTGGTCTCTTCCTCCCCAGTAAAAGAAAGTTCTTTGGGATCATTAGAAAGTCAACTTCTTTCTAACTCATCACACTAAAGAAGAACAAATTCTGGTTTTCCTCTCCCACATCATGGCTTTGTTCTTTGCTACTCCTTGGCTCCAGCTCCAGCACCATATTGGTCTCAGAACAACCTCTGCTTGCTCTGGGAACTCTTCTTCTATCCAGAAAGCTCAGTTCAGGATCCTGGCTTGAGTCATGATCTCCTCTTTCATCTCATTTCTGTGTGACTGCATGGAAGGAGATTCCCAGATGGCTCTTCTTCCTGGGACCTGAATCTGGGTATTCCTTCTCTGAATCTCACCTCTCTATCTCTCCACCTCTTCATGTGTTCAGCTGCCATTTAAAGGCCAATACCAAGGGTATAGCCCAAAGTAAATGAACTGTCCATGGATCAACCCCTTGAGTGGTGTCAGTAAACCTCCCAAGGTAGCAAAATTTCATACTCTAATCAAAGAGATGCTGTTAATTCCAGAACAAAGGCCTTTTCTGTGGGTAGCCATGAAGACTTTTATAGTTTGGATAGGGAGACATTAATTAAGTCAATCTACAAGCTCTCATTTGTGCCAGGCACTGTGCTAAGCACTGGGGCTACAAAGGAAGGCAAAAACATGGGCCCTTCCCTCAAGGAGCTTATATTCTAACGGGGGAGACAACATATAGACAACTATGAACATATAAGCTATGTACAGTGTAAATGGGAGCTATTGCAGAGAGAAGGCACTAGGGATGAGGAGATACCTGCAAAAGGCCTTTTGCAATACTGGAACAAAGCAGGAAGGCTTGGATTACAATCCCATCTCAGTCATTTCCTAGCTGTGAGATCCTGTGCGTGTCTTTTTTTTTTTTTTAAAGGCAATTGGGGTTAAATGACTTGCCCAGGGTCACAAAGCTTGTATGTGTCAAGTGTTTGGTCCGAGGCCAGATTTGAACTCAGGTCCTCCTGACTTCAGGGCTGGTGCTCTATCCACTGTGCCACCTAGCTGCCCTGATCTTGGGCATGTCACAACCTCTCTGGGTCTCAGCTTCCTTATCTGTAAAATGGGCACGTTCCTCCCTGGGTTGTTATGACTGATCAAATGAGATAATAATTGTAAAGCACTTAGCACAGAGCCAGGCACATAGTAAGTGTTATGTAAGTGTTAGCTGTTATAATTATTATTTTTATAACGGGAACGATAACAACACTTACCTCCCAGGCTGGTTGGGTGGATCAAAATGGATAAAATAAAGGCAATGCTTTGCAAACCCTAGAGCCATATAGAAATGTAAACCACTTTTATTGTTGTTGCTGCTAACCTGGTTAGCCTGATTAAGAAAGAATAAACCTAGATTAGGTTTGTCTTGTACATTCTCTAAATGATTATACACAGGGAACAAAGCCCCAAGCACCTGTCAATTTCCCTTTTAACAAGGCAGGCAGACAGACACGCAGACAGACCCGCAGGAACAGCCTGTGAGAGGTGGGAGGGCAGGAGCAGGGCTGGGATATCCCCAGGGAGCTGCTGGCAGGGACCCCTGGAAGCTCAAGGTCCTGAATTCATGAAGCAGGAGGGGTCCTTGAGCTGGGTCTCTGGCATGGGGTGATCCTGTCCCCAGAAGTAGCGTTTCTGTGCCACAACAGGTAAGAGCTGATGTATGCTGCTCTTTGAAATTGTGAGCTGGA